GATGACGCGCCCCGTGTTGATGGATAGCTCGCATCCAGCGAGGGAGGCGGTGACCCATGGCAACGTCGAGCAGCTTCATGGCTGGCTCAATGCCACTGCCGGCACTCCTGAACCGGCGGCGGGGCTCTCCGTCAAGACGCACGAGGGCGTCAGCCCCATTTTAATATTTGTGGCCAATTCGATCGACTGGTACGAGGGGCAAGGACTACCACGGTCGACTGCCTCATCTCTGGCTCGGCTGCTGCTGCAGCACGGTGCTGACCCAAACGCCCTCGGGCCGGTTGCAAACTCTGCCATCGCGGAGGCGAGTGCGCGTGGCGACGCATGCTTTGTGCGCCTTCTGCTACGCCATGGCGCTAAGCCCTGGCTGGGACGTAGCAAGGCGATGCTTCTGGCGGCTGGTGGCGGCGTGGAGGTAGGCGGTAGATCAGCGGTTTGTCCAGCGGCCCATGTTTGCCAGTCAAGTCACTACATAGAGTTCAGCGAGGTGGTGCTTCTCCTACTCGCCCACGGCCCACCTGGATGGATCATTGAGCGGTACCCCTCTTCGCCTCCACTTTTGGGCGCACCCTCGGAGGCGAAGAAATTCTACTACGAAGTGACCTCCAAGGATCGGAACGGCCTTTTGCTGCCGCCGGCCGAGGGGATGACTGCCCTCGTCGAGGCGTGCTACGTCGGCAATGATGCCATCGTCGAGACGCTGCTCATCCATGCTGAGGTCAGCGGCGTCGGAGCTCACGCAATCGGCGCCTGTAACGCACTTAGGGTCGCCAACAACATGGCGAAGAGGTCCTACGCTTGGGGCAACTTCTCACGCTGCGCATGGCTTCTCCGCCGCGCCCTCAAGTTTCAGGGGACGGGATGTGACACTTGCGATGACTTGCAATTCACATTCTGCGGGCGTGGCTTCTGTGACGATGGCCTGATTCGCGCGGAGCAGCCAGTCTGTTTGCATGCCCACAGCGTCTCCATTGCGCCACGGAGCGCGCCGCCACACGCCCACCAGAGCCCGCCTGTGCAACTGGGCGCGCCCGCTTGGAGTGCCGGCCACCTCCTCTTGCTCGCGTGCGGGGTCGCGGTCCTTCTCGTCGCCTTCCTCACCTGGCACCTGACGCAGCTGGACCAAGCTGCGAGGTCGTCGCTGATCGGTGTAAGCAGTGGCCGCCTCAGCGGGCGAAGCAGGCAGCAGAGGCTAGCGGCGCGGTCCACCACCAAGCCGACGCGCCAGAGCCGTCAGACAGGCTCTGTTAGTGGGCCCTCCCCGACCGAGCCAGCTGCCAAGAGAGCGTCGGATGGCGAGAGCACAAACGGCGCCATAACGCCCGAGGGCGGCCAGACGCTGCGCGAAAAGAGGCGGGCGCAGCGGAAGGAGGACGCGAGGCGACGGGCGGAGGCGGAGGCGCGGCGCGAGGCGGCCGAGGCGAACAAGCGGCGGGAGATGGAGTCGAAGGCGGCCAAGGGGAAAGTTGCTGAGGCAGCCGCCGTCGAGGTCGATGAGGCGAAGCGAGCCATTGCAGAGCAGGGGCTCAACACGGAAGCGGGTGGAGGGCAGAACTGGTCGCCGTGGGCGTCCCACACCGACAGCATCGTCATGGGCGCTGCCAACAGCCACGGCTGGTGCTCGACGGGCTCCGACGAGCGGGTTTCCAAGCAGGAGGGCGGGTGGGAGTCCGTGTGGCCCTTGTCGTGCGGCGCGTTAGGGTCATCGATTTGGGCGGCGCCGCCGGCACAGAGCTTGGGGTTGGGTGGCAGCAGGGGCAGCTTGTCTCTGATATCGGCGCGCTATTCCGCCTCCTCGTCGGGCTCGTCCGGCTCGTTGGAGGCGATGGGCAACTGGGGAGCGGGAGGTGCGGGAGCGTGGGGAGCGAACGATATGACAAGCAAGGCTCGTGATTTCGCAGGGCGTGGTTTGGGGCCACTTGAAGGCTTGGACAGAGACGAGCAGCCTTGGGAGGCGGACCTCAAGATGGTTGCGGTCGAGGAGGAGGCGGCAGCGGCGGCGGCGGCGGCGGCGGCGGCGGCGGGGGCGAATGCGGCGAATGCGGCGACGGCGGTGTCGGGCGTGGCAGCGCGGCGATGAGGAGCCGGGGCGTGAGCCGCGTGCACAGAGATCTGAGATGCAATGAGTAAGCTCCTTCCCGTCGCGTGGTGAGTGTACAAGTTGTACTGATGTAGAGCGCCGACACTGCGCAGTGAAAACTACTCCCGATACATCGGATCACGTGCAGCACCAGGGATCGCGTTCCATGCAACACGTGACGTATTTTTCACTGATTTTAGAATAATAGGCTCTCTGAATTTCACACAGAGTCTCTGACTATTCTGTCTCTCTCTCGAGCTCACAGGAGCTCTCTCGCTAATTTTTCATGTTTTATCACGGAGCGTGTGGTGTTATCGGGGACCTGTTCCTTTTTACCCATCTCACAGTAGAAGTGTCCGTTTTTATTTACTTATCGTGGTGTTATTCGTGTAAAGAAGCCGAGAAGGAGTGAAGGCTGAAGCCGTAGCCGTACACGCGCCTTCTCGTCGAGCTTCGTCGTTATTTTTGCCTGAACATGAAAGAATGTCTCTGTGTTGTATAGTGCAAGACGAATAAAAGGGGCAGTTCCTATTTAATGTTGTTTGTTTGTCCGTCGCTGCGAGACAGTCCACAGAGGCACACACGCCCATGCTTTAATCGCCGCGCCTCAAGACGAATGTCGTCCCTTTATTGCCCGTGCTGATGCGGAGCTCATCGCCGAGGAACTCGGTGTCTAGCCATCCCTCCGCCTCCTTGCCGAGCAGCTTGAAGGGCACCGGGTACGGCAGCCGCAGCCCCTGCTCCGTCTGAAAGTAGCCTTCGTCGAAAGCGAACGACACGCGCCTCGGAGCTGCCGGGCGGGCCGTTGCGGCTGCGTTGAGGCGCAGCTCTCCGAGCGGTGTGCGGACGAGCTGCTCCACCCGCCCTCTGGCGGCGCCGCCTTGGAGCCCACGGATGCTCTGCGTGACCGAAAAGGCCGACGTCACCGCGCGCTGGATGGGGCTGGACGAGGCAGCCGCAGCCGATTCTCCTCCGCCACTCAGGGCAGCAAACCAACCCTCCACGCCAGGCGTTGTCCCGTCTGCCCGCCGGCCGAGCGGATTGCGCCAATCGAAGCTGGACTTGGTCGTGTACAGCAGCTCCCAGTCGCCCTCAATCATCGGCGAGAGCGCTGGGTCAGGGATGCCGCCGCCGCTCTCGCTCACCAGCTCTGCGAGCCTGTCCTCGAGCTCGCTGCGTGACGTCGTCGCAGAGGAGGCGAGTCGAGCCACCTGAGACTCGAGCGACGAGATGCCGCCCGCCGCAAAGCCGAAGGAGGTGGGGGCAAGCAGGCTGACGAGCAGGAGGCGGAGCACACACATCCACACCCAGCCGGCGTGGTGTTCACAGCCTTGTTATTGAGAAGAATTTTACAAGAAAACTCCCTTCCACGAGAAGAAAATACGTCGTATGGCGCACACAGCCTTGTTATTGAGAAGAAATACCTCCTATGGCGCTGTGCGCTGGTCTGTGAGAGGTTGAGGTGCGAGCCCTGGAGGTTCATTCACAGAAAAACACAACCCCGCCCGGACCCAAGACGCACAAGCACAGACAGTCGAGAAAGGGATAGACCGCAACGATAGTCAGAAGTCAGCGCTGGGTCCCAGGGCGAATGCGATGACGGCCTCTAGTGTGAGCTCTAGCTAGTGAGCTCATCGCTACTATATGCAGCGAGTTAGGAGCCGACCGACCGACCCTCGCGTCCGGTGCTCACCGACGGCTGGGTGGTGTTCACACAAAAACACAACCACGGACCCAAGTGGTGTTCACATAAACGCACAACCCCGGGCCCCGAAATCGCACCAGTGACAGTCAGACATGCAACACGGGGTCCCAGGGAAGGCAAGCAAAAACCTTATCGCGCGCGCTTTTTATGCCGACTCGGAGGCCGCACCGGTCATGCGCGCAGCCGGAGAGAGAGGGAGGCGCTCAATCGCCGAACTCGGCGAGCGCCTCCATCGTCTCCGCTTTGTACGCACCCTCCTCCCAGCAATTGAGCGCCTCCACCACCCCCGCGCCCGCGCCCGCAGCGTCCGTGCCCGCGAGGATGGCAGCGTTCACAGCCTTGTTATTGAGAAGAAAATACGTCGCCTCGAGCTGTGCGCTGGTCTGTGAGAGGTTGAGGTGCGAGCCCTGGAGGCCCTGGGGATGGGGGGAGACTTCACACAAAAACACAACCCCGGACCCAAGACGCACAATCAGCAAGCACAGAGTGGTGTTTACAGCCTTGCTTGTTATTGAGAAGAAAATACGTCCTATATGGCGCACACAGCCTTGTTATTGAGAATAAATACCTCCTAATGGCGCTGTGCGCTGGTCTGTGAGAGGTTGAGGTGCGAGCCCTGGAGGTTCACAGAAAAACACAACCCCGGACCCAAGACGCACAAGCACAGACAGTCGAGAAGGGAGAGACAGCAACGACAGTCAGAAGTCAGCGCTGGGTCCCCAGGAAGGCGAATGCGATGACGGGCCTGGGAAGGTACCGGTAGGGCAGGGCACGCGTGTGCGGGCAGGGATCGATGTCGGCGAGCGCATGGCGCACGCTTTGGACCGTGTCAACCTAATGGCGGTACTGGCGGCCGCAACACCTGGTGTGGAGCCTCGGGGGCGGCCCCTTGACCCTGCGGCTGTTCCAGCCGCGGCTCCACGCGCCAACATATGTCAACATGTCACCGCGTGTCACGACGGGGAACGGGGTGTCACCGAGGTGTCACGGCGGTGTCACAGCGTGTCACGGTGCCACGGCTCGCAGTGTCACGGTAAAGAAAGAAAGAAAGAAAACAGACAACCCACGGGAGGGATGGGAGGACGGCACGCCGCCACCACACAAGGGATTTTAAGGAGAGGAGTGTGGTGCTAGCCGTCGCCCACCCTAACCCTTGGTCGTCTGCCTCTTTCTATCTCCCTTCGCAGTCCCTCGCCGATTCTCGCTGCAACCTTCATGCCACCTCTCGCGGTCGTCCCACTCTCGTCGTTCTCCCTCCTCTGTCGCTTCCTCCTCTGTCGCGTCGCTCTCGTCTGCCTCGTCCTGCGACGCCGCCGCCGCCTGCCGATCCCTTGCTTGCTCTCGCGGCTTCTCCCGCCTTTCGGCGCAACTCTGCCCTCCTCGCGGCATATTTCGGCCCCTCGATCGAGTTTATCGAGCTCTCCTCGCGCAAGGACGACTCTTCTGCCCGCCCACTGCGATCATTTGCCGCCAAGTCATATCGTTGCTCAGGTCCACTCACTCTTCGACACTTGTACGAACGAAACTTGGACACGGCCAGTTTTTTTTCTCGGTGCGCGTCCCCAATACGCGGTACCGCACATGCAGCGAGCCCCAGCACCGCCCTTCCCTCAGCCGCCCGGCTGGTGGGCGCCGCCAGTGCCCTTCCAGCCCCCGCCTTTCGGCAAGGGCGGCGGCAAGGGCGGCGGCAAGGGCGGCGGTAAGGGCGGCAAGGGCGGCAAAGGACGAGGACGCGGCGGGCGTGGCGGTGGCGGGCCGAGCGCGTCTGGGCAGGCGTTCTACCGCCCGTCATTCGTCGAGGATCCATGGCTGAGGCTGTTCCCCTCCGACCCGCTCCGCCGACCGCTTCCGGGGCCGGTTGGCGCGGGATCGCCGCCGCCTCGGATGAGCGTGCCCGGCCCCGCTGCCTGTGCGCCGCTGCAGCAGCAGGTGGTGGGCGCTGCTGCCTGTGAGCCGCCGTGCTCGATGGCGGCGGACCCTGCCGCCTACGCGCCACCTTTGCGCCCTCCGGCTCCCGCGCTGGCGAAGCTCTCCCTCCCACTCCCGCAGAGCTGCCACTCGAGTGTGGAGGAAGCTGCCGGGAGCGGGGCGGCTGCGGCCACGGCCGCCAACAGCTTGCTCGAGCAGGACGCCCTCGCCTCGACCGGCGGCGTCACAGACAGCCTCGCGCCCTCGCTGCCAGGCGGGGGCGAGCCGTCGGAGCAGCAGCCGCCGCAGATGGCGCCCGAGCTGTCGCTGCTGCGCGGCCGCAACGCCGCGCTCTGGTCGCTCAGCGCGGAGGATGGCGACGAGGATGGGGGCGGCGGGGCAGAGGGCGGTGCCGTCCCGTCGCCTTTCGCGGCGGCAAAGCGCTGCCGCGTGGAGGGCCTCCCGCCGCCCGACATCTGACTCTCCGACGGCAGGCCCCGCGCTGCGGCGCGCATATACGACACCATTTTGGGATTTCTCTCAAAATCTCGCATGTAATTCGAGTTCAAACACGTGTAGCGGCTAACGTCTCTCCTCGCGCATCGCATCTCGGGGATGGGGTGCATTTGAGCAGGAGGCTAGGCAGAGGCCGCATGCGCATCGCGTCCGCTGTACGTGTCAGTATAGTGTATACAAAGTTACACACTCTGGGAACACAAGTTTGGTTCTACTAATATCGCGCGCGGATAAAACGCGCGCGCCGCCATGGTGGCGGAATAGTGTTAATGCCCGGGACAAACACCGGTCACCGCGCTGCGCGACCGCGAACGGAGTGGCGGTGGACATGCTCCAACGTTGCCGACGCGGCGCCGGAGTGCGGGCCGGCGCTGCTCGCCGCGACCACGACGGCTACTCCGATGCTCCGGGCCGACCCGTCCTACCCGACGGTGGCACTCTTCCACGTCTCGCTCACGCTGAGAAAAATTCTGGAACGGCGTGCAGCACAGAGTCACCGACGAGTCGGTCCGCGTGACTCCTCGTGTCGCGCATCGTTCTCACACACCCATAAACTCACTTTGGCCTCACAAAAGCGAAGTCTGAGTCCTTGATCCTCAGATTTTAGGACGCTGTCCACCCCCTACGTCAAGTCCTCTCCTTTTCTCCTCACTCCTGCGGACCGGGGAGGGCTACGAAGCCTTCACTCCAAGGGGCTGCATTTCCGCGTTTTGGTTTCCTCACGTTTGACCCACCTTCTTCTTTTTTGCACCGCCCCGCTTCCTCCTGCTCTCCGCCAGCGCGGCTTGCCGCGTGTAGGGCGGCGGTGGCGGAGGGCAGGTCTCGTGCAGGCCTGAGCACGCCACGTCCCGGCCGGTGCAGCGCCCAAAGTGGTGCGCCGCCATCGGGAGCGCGTTGTACGCGGCCGGCTTCCATGCCTTGGCCGTGCCGGGAGGCGGCCACGAGTTGCGCGTGCGGTTGGGAGGCGGAGGCGCGAGAGGCAACTCGGCCTGCGAGGCGCATGGGCGGGCGGGCGCGGGCGGCGGCTTGGCGACAGAGAACTGCTTGGCGAGGCAGTTGGAGTGGCAGCAGCTGGCGTTGGCTCCGGCGCCCCAGTTTAGCTCCTCGCTAAGCACCTGCGCGTCCTGCCCTCCAAAGGTGCGAGCCTCGGCCTGCGCCAGCAGCAGCCTCGTCGCGGGCGTCGAGCGCAGCCAGACGCAGTAGGTGTAGATTTGCTTGAGCGAGAAGCCGGGCGTCCCTCCCACCACGTCGGGCGATGAGCCCGCACCGAGATACGCCTCGCCCGCCACCTGCAGCCCGTCCGCCCGCACGCGCAGCACACCCAGCGCGGGCAGCGGGTTGCGGTCGAGCCGCAGCATCGGATCGACACCGAGCACGTGGAAGCCCGCCTCGAGCAGCATCCTCCACAGCCGCATCCGGTGGAACTGCCGCCGGCGAGAGAGGTACTGCTTGCCGCAGAACTGCGGACGTGGTAGCAGCGGCGGAGTGGGTGGCGGCAGCAGCGCCAGCAGGCCGCGGTCGCTCGCGTCCAGACCGTCGGCGGCGACAGCGTCAAAGGGGAGCACCGCAATGCAACCAAAGCCTGCCGCACGCGCGGTGCGGCCGAGGTCGACCGCGAGCTGGAGCTCATCCGTGGCGACGGTAGTGCATATGACGGCAGAATTGAGCGCGCAGCGTGCGACGGTGAGGCGGAGTGGTTCGGCTGCCGCCATGTACACACACACGTCACATGCTGTACTTTTAGCGACGTATAGTTCGGGACGTACGTCTACGATTCTCGGTGCAAGAGGTCTTCTCACTCTCGTCGTTCTCTCCTGCCGCTTCGTCCTCGGACTCGTCGCTCTCCTCGGCCTCATCCTGCAACGACGCCGCCGCCTGCCCGATCCCTTGCTCTCGCAGCTTCTCTCGCCTCTCGGCGTAACTCCGCTCTCCCCTTTCAGCATATTTTGGCCCCTCGAGTTTATCGAGCTCTCCTCGCGCAAGGACCACTCTTCTGACTCCCAGTCCGATCATTTGCCGCCAGGTCATGTCGTTGCTTGCTCGGACCAACTCTCGTTTCGAACAGGTAGGTAGGTAGAAAGGTGAAGAACAGCCAGGCTCGGACTGGACACCAACGCGGTATGGACACTGGTCCTCCGCCGTGTGTCCAGTAGCACAAAAATAGGAAGGCCTCACGACGCTTTCGCACCAGACGCACGCACATGTGCACGCGTTCGCCGGTCCGCGTCCGCCACCGCTCGCCGCTCCACAAAGCCGCATCCGCCGCCGCCGCGCTGTGCAGCAGGCTCCTCTTCCTCTGGGTCACGCCTGCCGTGCGCCGCGGCTGGCGCGTCCCGCTCTCGCAGGACGACGCGAGCGCGTGCGCCGGCTGGGCCACTCGCAGCACGGAAGCGCTGCTCGCTTGGTACGACGAACAGGACGCGTCGCTCTCCTACCGCCGTCGTCTGTGGCTGCTCGTGCGGTGGCGTCTCGTCGGTAGCGGCGTGATGTACGCCATCTTTGTCGCCTCGCAGCTGGCGCAGCCACTGCTGCTCCAGCGGATTGTGCGCGCCGTCGCAGCGCACGAGCAGGGAGAGGGCATGTGGCTGGCCGTCCTCGTCGGCCTGAACGGCGTCGTCGGCTCGCTCGCCAAGGAGCAGCAGCTCTTCGCAACCTTTTGCCTCGGCGCGGAGCTTCGCTCCCTCTCCGTCGCCCTCGTCTACCGGACCGCGCTCTCGCTCCGCGCCGCCTCCGCGCCGCCGAGCACGGCCAACCTCCTCTCCAACGATGCGCAGAAGCTGCTCGACGCGCTACCGCTGATCCACTTGCTCTGGGCCTGCCCGCTGATGATCCTCGTCGCGGCGCTGCTGCTCGTCGACCTGGCCGGCGTGGCTGCGCTCGCGGGCATCGGCCTGCTCCTGACGATGATCCCGCTCAACCTGCTGCTTGTGCGGCGCCTCAAGGCGGCGCGTGCGGCGCACCTGCCGCACTCGGACGCGCGGGTGGCGCGCTGCCTCGAGCTCGTCAAGGGCGTGCGCGCGCTCAAGTTCCACGGCTGGGACGCCGCCTTTGAGGCCGACCTGCTGGCGCGGCGCGAGAGAGAGCTCCCCTACATCCGGACTGAGCTCGGCCTCTTCGCGCGCCTGATGACGATGACGATCGCGCTGCCGCAGCTCGCGACAGCCCTCGCCCTCGCCGCCGCGGTGCTCACCTCGCCCTCCTCGCCGCTCACCGCCGACCTAGCCTTCCCCGTCCTCTCGCTCTTCTCGGTCGTCCGCTTCCCGATCATGTTCTTCGGCGAGCTCGTCGGACAGCTCACGCAGGGCGCGGTCGCGCTGAGGCGCATCGGCCGATTCCTCGCCCGCGCCGAGGCCGCCGCCGCGAATCCGCGTTTGCGCGGTGCCGACGAAGGCGGCAGCAGCGGTGGCGGTGGCGGTGGCGGCGGCGGCGGCGGCGGCGGCGGCGGCGGCGGCGGCGGCGGCGGAGGCGGCGGCGGCGGCGGCAATGCGGTCGGGACGGCGGCTCCTCTCGAGCTCGAGGAGGCGTCTTTCTCTTGGCGCAAGTCGGAGCCGCCGCAAGGGCCGGCGGCGGGCAGAGTGAGCCGTTCGAGGTCGGGCCGGCTCTCCGCGCCGCCGCCGCGCCGCGCCGTGCCGCCCGCCGCCAAGGCTCCGGCTGCGCCGCTCGCAATCGATCGGCTCTCTCTGCGCGTTGAGCGCGGGGAGCTGCTTCTTGTCGCCGGAGCCGTCGGGTGTGGCAAGTCCACCTTCCTTGCGGGCGTGCTGGGCGAGGCGGTCCTCGAGGCGGGCGGCGTGCGCACCTCGCCGGGCGAGGCAGTCGCCTACTGCGCGCAGACAGCGTGGGTGCAGCACATGTCGGTGCGAGACAACATCCTCTTTGGCTCCTCTTTCGACGAGGCGCGCTACACTGCCGTCGTGCACGCTTGCGCCTTGCGTGCCGACCTGGCGGCGCTGCCGCACGGCGACGCGACCGTCGTCGGCGAGCGCGGCGTGACCCTCTCCGGCGGGCAGCAGCAGCGCGTCGCGCTCGCGCGTGCCGTCTACTCTCGCCCGTCGCTGCTGCTTCTCGACGACGTCTTCTCCGCGCTGGACGGCTCGACCGGCCGGCACATCTTCGAGGCGCTCTTCGAGGGCGCGTCGCCGCTGCTCGGCTCCGCCGCTGTCCTGCTCGTCGGCCACGCGACCCAGTTCGCGCCCAAGGCCGCCTCGTGCCTCGTGCTGCACGCGGGCCGCCCTGTCGCGCGTGGGTCGCTGGCGCAGCTGCAGCTTGCGCGGGAGGGCGCCGCTTTGTCGCCAGAGGAGCGGGCGGCGCTCGGCGAATTTCTCGACTCGGTGGGCGGCAGCGGCGGCGACTACCAGCCTAACGAGGCGGGCGACGCGGCCGAGCCGGCAGAGGAAGAGGCGGTGGAGCTGGAGGCGGCAGAGGCGGCGGGGGCGGAGAAGTCTGTGGTCCCGGGGAGCGCGACGGGCGACTTTGCGCCCGAGGGGAGCGACGAGGTGCGACTCGGCGTGCGGACGATGCTGGCGTGGGCACGTGCGGCGGGCGGGTGGAGATGGTTCTTGCCCGAGCTCCTCTTCTTTGTCTGCGAGCGCTTCACTTACGTTGGTGCTGACTTCTGGCTCTCCGCTTGGACCGAGGCGGCGCCCGAGGCTGCAGGCGAGAGCAGCACCGTCGCGAGCGGCTTTGGCGCGCTCTTTGGCTTCAGCGGAGTGGTGGACAGCGAGGCGGACCAACGCGCTCGACTCGCAGTGTACTCGGGCTTCATCTTCGGCAATGCCAGCTTTGCGTTTCTACGAACTTGGTGGTTCGTGAGTGGCGGCGCGGTGGCCGCTCGCTCCATCTTCCGCCGCCTCCTCGGCGCCGTGGCGCGCTCGCCAATGTCCTTCTTCGACACAACGCCGGTCGGCCGCATCGCGGCGCGGCTGTCGTACGACACCGAGATCATCGACGGCCTGCTCGTGCAGAAGGGCCTGACCGTGATTGCCTCCTCCTTCTGGCTCTTCTCCGGGCTCACGGTCGTGCTCGCCATCGTCCCCGTCGTCGCAGTCGCGGTTGTCGTCTGCGCGGCAGTCTTCGCGGCCGTCCACATGCTCTACCTGCGCTCGGGCGTGCAGATGCAGCGCCTCTACGCGCGAGCGCAGGCGCCGCTAGTCTCTCTCATCGAGGAGTCCGTCGCGGGCGGCGCGACGATCCGAGCCTTCGGAGAGACGCACCGCTTCTCCTCCCGGCTGGCGCTGCTCAACGACGACGCGTCCACCGCCTTCCTCGCCTTCGTCGGCGTCGGGCGCTGGCTCGCCGTGCGTCTCGAGACGATCGGCGCTCTGATCTCCGTCTCGGTGTGCGTCGCGCTCTCCGCCCTGTCGGAGCAGCTGTCCGGCCCGATCGCGGGCCTCGCGGTGATCTGGTCCTTCAACCTGACAATCACTCTCAACTTCCTCGTCCTCTCCACCTCAGAGCTCGAGGCGAAGGGCGTCAGCCTCGAGCGCGTGCTCGGCTACACCGCCCTGCCGCCCGAGGCGCCGCGCGAGCAGCCGGAGGCGGACGCGCAGGCCGAGCGGGAGGGGTGGCCCGTGCGCGGCGAGCTCCGCTTCGAGGCGGTGACGCTGCGCTACCGACCCTCGCTCCCGCCGGCGCTGGACGGCTTCAGCTGTACCATCGCCGCGGCGGAGCGGGTGGGCATCTGCGGCCGGACCGGCGCCGGCAAGTCGTCGGTCGCCGCCGCGCTCTTCCGGCTGGTGGAGGTGGAGGCGGGCCGCATCTCGCTCGACGGGGTTGACCTGCGCACGCTCGGGCTGCAGCGGGTGCGCGGCCGCGCCCTCGGCATTGTCACGCAGGAGCCCGTTCTCTTCCGCGGCGCCGTCCGGCGGAGCCTCGACCCGCTCGACCAGTTCACCGACGAGGCGCTCTGGGGCGCGCTGCGGGCCGTCGGCATGGAGCCGGCGGTGCGCGGCCTCGCGGACGGGCTCTCGTCCGAGTCGGAGGAGGGCGGCGTCAACTGGAGCTTGGGCGAGCGGCAGCTGCTCTGCTTCGCTCGCGCGGTGCTGCGCGCGCCGCGCGTGCTCCTGCTCGACGAGGCGACTGCGAGCATCGACCACGCCGCTGACGCGCGCATCCAGTCGGCGCTCCGCACGACAATGCGCGAGACGACGCTGCTGACGGTCGCGCACCGGCTCCACACGGTCGTCGACTACGACCGCATCCTGGTGCTATCGGCGGGGCGGTGTGTCGAGGCGGGCGCGCCGCACGACTTGCTGCGCCAGGAGGGCTCGGCGCTCTCAGAGATGGTCGACTCGACGGGAGCGACGACCGCCGCGCGGCTGCGGGAGATGGCGGAGAGGGCGCACCATCAGAAGATGGAGTGAGGGAGACCGTCGGGGGCTCTCCCGACTCCTCCTCTTCTCTGCGGAGCTACCTTGCTATTCCCTTTCCTCATTGCTATTACTCATTCATTTCACGCACACAACACACATGGCTCTCACTCTCTCGTGTCTCTGAGTACTGAGATCTGAGACTCACATCAATTCTTGCATGCACTAAGCACTCCATCGGATCACATCTACACGCACATCGGTCAGCAAGTCAGCATATTATGTCGTCAAACAACTACATCGGCACGGGGGGGCTTTATAAACCACAATACACATGCAAAATGTTGTAGCTAGAGCTTAGACGGTGGTGAAGTCGTCGTCTCCCACGCCGGCCGCCAGGAGTGCGCGCAGCCGCTTCTGGCTCGCCGCGGGAAGCTCGGCATCGAGCCGAGCGAGGTCGTCCGCCCAGCCGAGCTGCACCATCAGCGCGAGGAAGGTGTCGTCGCACTCACCTCCCAAGAAGAGGTCTCGCCCGCCGGGCGAGTAGCGGATGCCAAGCTCCTGCCCGACGGGCTCGGCGTTGATGACGGCTCGGACCGCGCTGTCCGGCACGCGGTACACGAGCGAGTTGGCCGGCGAGACGACAAGCGAGGTGCCGGCGACGAGGAGCAGGTCCACCGATGGAAGGTCCTCCGCGCTCCGCTCGAAGAACTCAGCCGGCAGGCTCGAGCCGAAGAGCACAGTCGTTGGCTTGACGAGAGGGCGGTGGCAGGCTGGGCACGGGATGGGCGTCGACTCGGCCGGGGCCGCCGAATCGACGCCGTACAGGTCCTTTATGCGGGCCCGCACCTCTGCGCAGAAGGCGTCGAACTCCATCGGCGCGCCGCAGCCCTCGCACGCCACCTTGCCTATGGAGCCGTGGACGGCGACAATCTTCTCGGTCGGCAGGGCCGTCTGGTAGTCGAGCCCGTCAATGTTCTGCGTGTACAGCCGCGTCAGCTTTCCCGTCTTTGCGTGGAGCAGCTCGGCAAAGCGGTGGCTGAGCGTCGCGCGCCATCGCCGCTCCCTCGTGCCCAGGATGAATGGCCGGCGAACCTCGAGATACGGGAATGCGTTGGCAAAGAACATGTCCTTCAGCACGACAGCGGTCGGGTCCGCTGCCATCGCACGGCGCTGGGCCGCTGTCGCTGTGATGAGCTCTGGCCGCAGTGTGTCGTACATGCCACCCGGGCTGCGAAAGTCGGGGATGCCGGCCGCGACGCTGACGCCCGCGCCCGTGAGGATGGCGATCGAGCGGCACTCGGGCGACACGATGAACTTTGCGAGGGAGGAGACGTCCGTCGGTAAGCGAGACGGCATCGTACGGCCAGTCGAGGCCTGGGCCCCCGGCCGGGGGGGCACACTCGTGTGTGTTTCTTGCTTGGCCGGGTTATCATGCCGGGGTAGGTAGGGTGGTCGCATCGTGGTTTCCCCTCTTTTCAAGCTGGAATTTTCCAAAAAACAAATTTTCCGCGGAAATCACGATGTCAACCCTCCCCAAATGAGTGATCTGATGCTTGTAGGGCTTGAGAGTGGCCTGCCATGTCACAAGAAGGACTGTGGTTGCAGGAGAGTACCACCAACCATCACTCTTGTTGGGTTTATGATTTCTTTTTTAGTTTCCTTACGGCCGGCGGCCGCGAAGGGAGGTCTCAGCGATGTGCAGAGGCAGGCAGGCCGAGACTTCGCTCTCTGAGAAGCCAGTCTCTATTCTGTGGCGGCTGCCGTTCCGGCTCCCCTCGCCCAAGCCGTCTCGCGTGCCACGCTGCTGCCGCGCTCTCGCTCGCGCGGGCCGGCCGCCCGAAGGCATGCTCGTGCAGGGCGTCGACGGAGCCTCGACGCACCGCGACGAGCTGAGCTATGCGTACGACTGGGCCCTCGCCGTGGGCACGCCAGTGCTCGCGGCACGTGCCGGCGTCGTGGTGGAGGCGTGCGACGTCTTTCGAGCCGGCGCGCCGAAGCCTGAGTACCGACCGCTCGCCAACCACGTCGTGCTGAGGCATGCGGACGGGCTGTACTCGCGCTACTTTCACCTGAAGCAGGGCTCCCTCCGCACGAGCGTCGGGGCCGCGGTCTCGGTGGGGCAGCCAATTGCGGCGTCCGGCAACACGGGCTTCTCCTCCGGCCCTCACCTCCACTTCGACGTCACCGACTCGACTCCCACGGAGACGTCCCTCCTCTCGGTCGAGCGGACAGCGACGCAGCAGCAACGCGCGGGCGGTGCTGCCGGCGCCGGCGCCACCGACACCGCCGCCGATGCCACCGACGCCGCCAAGGAGGCCCCCCCGCCGCCCGGCCTCGTCAGCGGGACAGTCAAGAGCGCCGCCGCCGCCTTTTGCTTCGCGCTGCCGCCGGCCTCGTCGCCGCTGTCGCCCTCGGCTCGGCGGGAGGGGCAGGGGTCTGCGCGGCCGCCTCACCGCCGCGCCTCCGCACGCGTAGGCGCGCCCCGCTCGTACTGGGCGACCCTCCCACCGCAGACTCGCCTCTCGCCGCCTGCGACGGCGCCGTCGTGCTGTTGCGCCGCTGCTTGCACGTTGACTTTGTCGACAAGGTGACGCGAGACCAGGGAGATGAGGTCTGCACGACATGATCAGACAGCGTAGCGTCACGTCGACCTGCTTCCGGCAAGGTGCGGCGCGCCGAGGCGGCCGGCGCGGTGGCGGTGGTCGTGGTCAACAACAAGCCCGTGCCCGCCGTGCACACGATGGGGTGGGGTCCGGCCGCACAGAGAGAGGCGCCGCCGGGCGTGCCAGCGGTGATGGTGCCTCTCGTCGAGGGGGAGGCAATGGCGGAGGCGCTGCAGCGCGGAGAACCACTCGTGTGCACCCTGAGCGGCTCGCCCCACCTCGGCCGCTTCCGCGGCGGACACCGCGAGGCGAGGGCGGCCGCGTGCGCCGCGGCGAGGGCAGCCACGCCGCAGGCTAGCCCGCTCGACCCGCGGCCGTGGCTGCCCTTTGTGCCCGTCACGCAGCCGGCCGCCTTTGCGTGGCCCGCGGAGGGAGGCTCGCCAGAGGCAGAGGGCGGGCGGCGGGCGTACTTCCCGGCGGTGGGCGAGATCCCACCCGTGGCGGTGCAGCGGGCGGCCGGGTGGGAGGAGACCTGACTCCGGGGCGCAGTGGGGCGTGTTTATTTCGCGATCGTGCCGTTTCAATTCTCGAGTTTCAATTCACTCTCTCGATGTTTCTCCTGACTGCTCGTGACACAGCTGGCTCCAGTCTGTCTCGTGTCTGTCTGTGGCGAGAGTGAGAGTAGAAGATATGCTCCGCTGTTGGCGGAATTCTTTGCACCTGAAGGTCCCCGATTTTCACTTGGAGCACTTGGACTTGCGCTAACAAAAGTGAAAAGAAAGAAAACAGAGCTTCATCCTTCAAAAATCTCTCTCAAAAGATTGTCAAAACAGACAACCCAGTGAAGGGAGGGATGCGGATGGGAGGACGGCACGCCGCCACCACACACAGGGATTTTAAGGAGAGAAGTGCGGTGCTAGCCTTCGCCCACCCTCGGGCGTCTACCTCTTCCTATCTCTGAAGAAAGAAAGAAAACAGACAACCCAAAAGGGAGGGATGGGAGGACGGCACGCCGCCACCACACAGGGATTTTAAGGAGAGGTGTGTGATGCGCTAGCCGTCGCCCACCCTAGGGAGTCTGCCTCTTCCTATCTCTCTTCGCAGTCTCTCGCCGATTCTCGCTGCAACCTTCATGCCACCTCGCGGTCGTCCCACTCTCGTCGTTCTCTCCCTTGTCACTTCCTCCTCTGTCGCGTCGCTCTCCTCTGCCTCGTTCTGCGACGACGCCGCTGCCTGCCGATCCCTTGCCCTCGCCTCTCGGCGCAACTCTGCCCTCCTCGCAGCATATCCTGGCCCCTCGAGCTTATCGAGCTCTCCTCGCGCAAGGACGACTCTTCTGACGCCCACTGCGACCATTTGCCGCCAGGTCATGTCGTTGCTCAGGTCCACTCTCTCTTCGGACACTTGTACCCCACGGCTGATGCTGGCGCTGGGGTCCCCTTCGGGTGCATCGTGACAGCTGACGGCGGGATTTCCACTGGCTCGTCCTCCTCAGAGTCGTCTTCCCCGGCTTCCTCCCGTTCGGCTCTACGTTCAGCACGTTCAGCGTGGCTCACCCTCCATGCCGTGAACGGGCGCTTTATCCACCCTATATTCTTCTCTCTCTCCTCTGCCCTTGCCTTGGTCTTGTCGTTGTTTCGCATCCATATCAGTATGGCGATCGAGGCTGCCTTCCCCACTACCTGTAGTTCTCTCGTCACCTCTCCTGCGAGCTCCCCTCTCTTTCTTTTTCGGGTATGGAGTCCGTGAGTGTGCGGGCAGTGTGCAGGCAATCACGGGCGCTATTTTGTCGTACTCCTCTTCGGCGAGCGCTCCAAATCTAGACCCTTTCGCCTTTAAGGAGGCTGCCCTCGCTCGTCTCAGGAATGTGGCGGTGTCTTTTGAGTCCGGCGCCTCCCGTTCAACTCTTGCTGTCGCCCTCGCTGTGTGTTTGTCAAGCTTCCGCATAAAGAGGCGCGCCTCCTCCTTGTTCCCAGCGCAGCTGCCGCTCAGTATGTGCGCCAACGACGCCTGTGGTGGCTCACTGTCTTCTCGTGTCCAGTCGTCCCAGTCTCGTCTCCGTTCTCCGATTCTCCTCCTCGCCTCGCGCGCCTCTTTTGTGGCCTCATCCCTAGCCGCCTTGCACGCTCTGCATCCCCAGAACGCACTTCTCGTGGCGGGGCCCCTCATTCCCCGTTTCGTCCCCCCCCTAGAATACGCCTGTGGTGCGCCCCGTGTGGCACCCCGACCTGTTGTCTCACCCTGCCTGGCCCCTAAGATCGTTTTGGTCGTCACATTGTGATCCCCGACGTCGTCAAATGTCGCTCGCCTGTCCTTCCCCCCATTCTCGTCTGGTAATCTCATCTTATCCCATGGGTGTTTGAGGCTGGCTAC